ACATATACACAAACACAAAATACACATACCATTTAATAAATCTTGTTCATTGTCTAATATTGCTGTCCGTGCAGCTGCTAATGGCATCGTTGTCGTTGTTATTGCTACTGCTGTCGTCGTTGTTGTTAACGTTGTTCCAGTTGTCCAATGTTGTGCATAATGACGTGAACGATTCAAATTCAATGTGTCCAATGAATGATTGGTTAATGAGACGAGGTTATTCAATTGTTGACCAGTAATAGCTCGTGGTACATGGATAGAATTATTATTATGAGTAGGAGTAGGATTATCGAAAGACCATGGATTTAGTGTTTGATTACTGTTATGATTATGGTGAGTAGTAACATTATTAATATTATTATTGATAGGAAATGTATTCGATGAACCTAATAGAGAATTGATATTTGAAGTTGTTTGACCTGAAAAAGGTGTGGTGGTTACCCACTAATCAAGAAACAAAACAAAAAAGTACACATATTGGCAATTAGTAAGATACTTCTTACTGAGTTGAAAAAGAAAGTATTTTCTGTACTATTGAATAAGATTGTTGATTTTTTTTAATTGTAAAGGTTTGCAATTCAGAAGAATTAAATCGCTTATATTTAGGATGTTAGATCCCCTGAACTCGCTTGATAAATATATCTTTATTTTGGATTTATTTCATGGACCGATCAGTTGACCTTGAGGTTACATTTCACACCGGTTAAATCCTTGGCTTTGATTGGTTACTGTGTCATTTTAGTGTGCTATTTTTGTGACTCTACCAAGGACGTCTCTATAGAGTATAAACAAACGGGAGTTGTGTGCTTGGATTCATTGTGTGATGGCTGGGTGTTTGTAGAATACAATTTCTACACTCTAACAAGACTTCTTGCTGATTTATTTTGGGCAAGGAACCTGGACGCTGGTTCATTGTTTTGTTCTCGTTATTCGACTAAGGTGAACTCGTAATAGTTTAAGCATACCTAGAGACGAGCGTAACACCTAACTCCGCGTACAGCCCTTTTGGGGTTACTACCAGTGCCAAGCCTGGGTGAAGAAAGAGGGTTGGGCATGGAGGTTAGTGACCTCATCCCGTAGAAGATCAATTCACCATAAAATAATGCTGAGCAGAAAATATAATTCAAGCCATTTAAACTCTGCCCAGTAAGTTAGAAGGTTTTCTCATTTAGAAGAGTTATGACGTCTCATGATGAAAGCCGAGTTCCTTTCGAAGTCACAAGGTCGATAATAAACTCCTTCCAAAAGCCAGAGCAATCATTAATACAAGTAATTAATTAAGCCTCCAAAACTTAACACACCTAGTATTCCTTGAAAATCATAGATTACTTGACTGCTCGTCCCCCCCCCCCAAAAGAAAATACACTTTGAATGTGGATGTAATTTATATATATTTAGTCCAAGCAAAATTGCAAACTAATTAGGTTCATGCATACAGTCAGTAATAAAGTGTCAGTATACTCAAAAAAAATGTTCTTTCTTCCATTATTAGCTAGTAAGCATTGTGTGTATTGGCGACTTTGAATGACATGACTCAGAATCGTTTACAATGGTGCAGGTGAATCCACTATTTGTGTGCTTTTTAATTCTAACCTTCTGAATTCCTCATAATCTCTATCTTTTTCCTTCTAAATTTATCTTACTGAATTACACTTCTCGAATCATATCTTTGCTCCTTAATCTTCTCCATTGCTGCTAATAATTCTACTATCGCTATCACTCCAGGATTTGAACTGACAGTTGCGTCTCTCTGTGCTGATGTGGTATGGCAACCTGAACTGATGTACTTACGTACGAATTTCTGCATTGTATCTGTCTGTCTGTCTGGGTGTATTGGCGGGCCGGTCGAGGTTATGCAGAATGTTACGTTCAGACGTAGCAGACAGTGGCATCAATTCATGAAGTCACTGACAAGTAAACTAAGTAACCCAAATGTACAGATTATCTGATTACAGCCTCAGTCAGTCAGCAACAAGGTAGAATTTTTTCACGTAAGTACAACAATTCTAGTTGTCTGATCACATTAGCACCCTTAACTTACTTCCAACCTACTCCTACATCACAAAACATAGCTCGTCGAGGCAGTCGGTGGTTAAGCATGCGTAACAGATGTCCCAACTACCTCAACTGATGAAGAGTCACTACATCATCCATAGATTTGCCATCCTTACCTAGCACCCGTCACCTAATAACAGCATTGCTCACTCGGATGTCCCACGATATACGAGCAAAGCTTCGAAGACATCTATAATCGAATACTAGTAACCTATGAATATCCTCAACTCTTACCGGCCATGTTTCACAGCCATATGGTAGGAGGAAGCGAACCGCTGAGCAGTAGACTCAACCTTTGGTTAGCAAACGGATATCTCACCTACGCCTTAAGTGATTCAAGTTGGCAAAAGCCTTCTGTATCCGTGCTGAGATTTCGTCAGTCACTAGACAATCCCAAGATAATTGAAGCAGTAGACACGCTCATTTACTTCACTCCATATGTTTATGTATTCATTAAATCAATGCAATTAAACATTTTATTCATACCTGGTTATCAGTAAGAGATGATTCCTGAGGTAAAAACTCTCCTCCTCCACCTACTCCACCACTGCCAACAATCATATTACGATCAGATGGTTGATTTGCATCGAAAATGCCAGGAATAGGCCACATTTGACCAACACTACTACTACCAACAGCACCACCTCCTGTAAGCATAATAACACAATGATTATATCATTAGAATAATTAAAAACGAGTAGTTTGACTAGTTTGATTTATTGATTATTAAATTGAATGATAACACAATTACCTTCCATTGAAATAAGTCCACCGTCTTGTAGCATTAAATCACCAGGATCATTTCTACTAGTAGACGACCATGATGGAATGATTGAAGATGTTGTGGAAAGAGTTGGATAAGAAGAACTGACGACAGTACCACCCCCAACAACAACACTACCGGTTCCAATACCTGGTTTGCCTAAAAATAAGAATTTTTTTAAAAAAAAATAAAATACAGGGATGAATGTTGTGAATGGTTTCAAAAAAAAACAAAACGTGAAAAAGAAGTTTCATTTGCAATATCAAATATTCTTAATTTTTGTTGAGGTTGTGTGTAGCAGTGTCTGTCACTTAGTTGTACAGTGAATAGAGCGTATGTTTGGATGTAGGAAGAATTGGATTTTGAACAATTCGGTCTCTTGTGCGCTGTTACACGGGTATGAGGGCGGTTGTCACTTCTCCCAGGGTGACTACACCGTGGAAGGTTGTTTCTTGAGGCGCCTGAAAAGGAAGATAGATTAGTGTTGGTCGCGGAGACCTGAGTGCGTGGTCATTACTGCTTCAACGAGCTTTGTTTTGTAGTGTAGAAATAGGTTGGAAGAAAGTTAGGGGTGGCCCAACCAAAACATGACAGAAATTCATGAAGTCATTGACGAGTGGACTTAGCCATGTCGGTAGTTTTCAACCACCTGGTTGGGGTCCGCGAGATGATATTAATCGATGGTTAGATACCCTGAATGACATGACTTAAAATCGTTCACAATGGAGCCGGTATATTTATTCTTTGTGTTCTCTCAAATCCTAATCTTCTGGATTCTTCAACACCTCCAGATTTGACTTTCTAAACTTTTCTCATTGAATCATACTTCTTGAATAGTATCTTCTAATCCTAACCTCTCCGATTACTTCTAATACCTTTACTACCTCTTCTACTATTGGATTTGAATTGACAATTACATCTCTGTGCTGATGTGGTATGGCAACATGAACTGATTTACTTACGTATGAAGTTCTACGATGCATCTGATTCACTGACTGTCATTGAAACGTGTATCAAAGAAGCATACTAATCTTGTACAGGCTCTTTACTTGAACACTACTAGTTGAGTGAAAGCTTATGTGGCGAACTGTCATCGGCATTGATTGCCTCGAGTGGTGTTCTTCAGGGTTGTCCATTCGCTTTAATTCTTGTTTGACTTTGTTCATAGACATCCCTTTTAGGTACGAAACTTTGATCATTTGACTTTTCAGGAATCGATCTTCTACCAAGAGATTAGCTAGTTGACTTACAACATGCTTATGATCTAGTTCTTATTGGTGAAAACGCTGACGAAATGCAGTCTTCTGACTACCCTAAGCAACAATGCAAGCATGTTTGGAATGCGATTCTCCCTCTTGAAATGCAAAATTTTGCCTCAAGAATAGCTTGTATCGGCACCTGAACTAGTAATAGGGAGCCCCAACGAGCGATGCTTAGTGGTATATGAGTAGGTTGGAAGAAAGCTAGGGGCGGCCAGACTAAAACATGGCAGAAATCCATGAAATCATTGACAAGTGGACTGAGTCATGTTGGTAGGTGTAGACTACCTGGTTGGGGTACGCAAGACAAAAGTAACCGATGGTACGAGACCCTGAATGACATGACTCAACATCGTTTGCAATGGTGCATATGCATCTTCTCCGTGTCCCCTCTCAAATTCTAATCTGAATTCCACATGACCTTTATCTTTCTCTTCTCAAATTTATTTGGCTACATTAAACTCCTTGAATAGCATCTTCCATTTACTGCTCATACTTCTACTACATCTACCACTATGAGATTAGTATTGGCAGTTGCATCTCTGTGTTCTAATGTGGTATGGAAACTTGAACTAGTGTACCTACGTATGAAGTTCTATGTTGTTGCTAACTGACTGAGCGAGGTCTTGTCCCTGACTTTCGAACAATCGGGAAGCTTAAGTCATTGATGCAGTTCCTACGACTCGTAAAGTCTAAAATGGTGAAACTGAATAAATCGGACAAAAAATTCCATAGAAAGTTTTAATTGCCTTTTCCCCATATTATTAAGACACAACCACTGATAAAATAAGTTTAAAAAAAATTTGCACCATACACTAAAAAATGAGATTAAGAAATTAGTGCATGAGAGTGAAATAATGATGATGATAATAATAATAATAGTGGGGGGAGGGAAACAGTTCAGTTAAGGGAAACATAACCAGAAACGATTCCTTGAATTAAAAAAGTTCGCCTCACTTATACGCCACTGGTTTCTATTTTCAGCCAAACCTGACATCTTAAGCCACTGAGTTTTTGATCATCGCTAGAATTCTAACCAGAGAGTCGTGCAAGAGCAGCAAATGCCAGTTCCGTATATAGTTTTCTTTCATGAGACGATACTATTTTATTCAATGACCACCTCTCTCCGCTTTTTCTAACGAGTAAAAAGGGTTGGCAAATAATGCACCATGTGACATTTGTACTACATATTCAAGCCAGCGAAGATAATGTTTCAGGACGTCGACACCAATCGAAATATCGTCACTAGGCCTAAATATCAAGAGCTGAAACGCGGTTGGTGAGTAAGGAGAATTCTCCAGGAGAAATGGAAAACCCTCATTACAAACCAATGGTGCACATAACTTCCGGAATCCTAAAGGAAAATGGTGACCAACTACCATAGGACTGCATCTATTATCATATTTAAGGAGACGCTCAGCTCCGACAATATAACGGTACCAACAGACGTACGACACGAGAGCTAAGAAATGTGAACCACAGTGCAGATTTAAACTAATACAATAGAGAAACGGTTCTGCCGATTGTTGATAACGGCTGCGATAACAGGCGAAGCTTCTAGAAACAGTCGTTTATTTTACGTTCAGGTCAAAATGACAGGTGCTCAATCCTTAGTAGACACAAGAGCAGAAATAGACGTTGTACCTTCTGTGAGCGATGAAAGACGAAATATTAATACAGCACTAACGCTTAAAGCAGTAAATAAATCTGACATAAAAACATGCATGAATCTTAGTCGGAATACTTGATTTCGCTGGGAGTTCATCATAGAGGACGTATCCACGCCCATCATCGGTATTGATCTCTTAAAGGATTTCAACTTATTGGGAAGATCCCCGACGAAACCAGCTCTTGAACGAAAACCACATAGTAGTGATAACAGGAATAATCACCGATCATGTCGGGCTTACCACTATAGTGGCCTGTGACCTGACTCCATTTTAGGCGGATGGAATATGCTATGAAATAAATCTTCCTTTCCATTTCCATTTATCAAAAAATTAGGCAAACTACAGTTTGTGCGACGGCGGTAATAAGAAGCCAAATACAAATTCAGTAGGATGATTTTATTCCATCCATTCATTTGTTTAAGCAGACAGATATAAGAATGAAAAGCGTACAAGACAGGCGAAACAAAGTGAAGAAGGCGACTGAGCAAACTCAATGCGATGAAGAATGACTAAGTGTTTATAGACAAAATAAGCTAGACAAGTAGTAAGCGAAGTAAGCAGTGTACTCACAGGCTCAAATACAAATAACCAAGGTCACAAACGAACGGTTGACAAAATCGAAAGACCAGTAAATAACGCGAGAAGAATAGATTGAATAAATTGTTCAAAGTCTGAAACAAATCCTATGGTCTTGACATAAACTTACACAAGCTACATTTGTACGTACATACGTACGTACATCAATTCAAGTTGCCGTAGCACATTAGCAAACAACCGTGGAGTTGTCAATTTAAATCCCATAGAAGTAAAAGTATTAGCGGTGCAGTCAGATAAGGGAATGTGAGTAGAGTTCGTTGTGGAGAGAAGAGAGGTATGTGTGGGTGTAGGAAGGATTTGATTTCGACCAATTTGGTCTCGTGTGCTGTTACGGGTATGAGAGCGGTTGTCACTTCCTGGCTGCCCACACCGTGTAAGGTTGTTTTTTGAGGGACTTGAAAAGGAAGATAGAGCGTAACCGCAAAACCCAAGGGAAAACTGCTTGAGACCGGTCTTGCACGGCCTTTTTATTAAAGATTTTTTGAGGATTAGCTCCGCACTTAAAGGCCCTTCGTGGGCAGCCCTTACCGACGGAGACGGAAATCCGTGAGTTAGGGGAGGTGTGACATTTTTAGGGTCGACCTTTTCTAACCCTTCCTTCCTTGTGAGAAGGCAGCATCGCTGCAGATGCTGGTTGTCCGAGGGAAACACCTTACAGCTGTCACACCCCTCAACAGTCAGTCAGTAGTACGACTTCGCCTTCAGACCTTGGGTAGCTGCTTTTAGTCTCATCGCTCTCCAATCGACCTGCCTGGCATGGTAGGACCTGCAGGAACATATGTCCCAGCCAGCATAGCTCGGTTGGGTCATGACGATAGGCAAGCGCGACCACCACGTCAAGGTAGCAGCTACGATCGTAATGGCACCAGTACATTTATTCTTTGTGTTCTCTCAAATCCTAATCTTCTGGATTCTTCAACACCTCTACTTTTGACTTTCTAAACTTATCTCACTGAATCATACTTCTTGAATAATATTGTCTAATTCTAATCTCTCCGATTACTGCTAATGCCTTTACTAAGTCTATTACCATTGGATTTGAATTGACAATTATATATCTGTGCTGATGTGGTATGGCAACATGAACTGACGTACTTACGTACGAAGTTCTACGCTGCATCTGACTGACTGAAGTAAAAGTATTAGAGGTAATAAAGAAGTGTAGAATTCGAAAATACGATTCATGAAGTATAATCCAGGCAAAAAGGCGACTTGTTAAAATAAATTTGATGTTAGGAAGAAACAGACAAGCCAAAATATTCAAACAGGCTGCCTAATATAAATGAAATAATATGGCTCTTTTTCTATAATGGATGAATGACACAAGAATGCCAGCTGAAAATGATAGACAATAACACATGAATAGTAGAAAAAGTGTCTGGATGAAAAAACATCCAAATATAAACAAGATAAATATGAGTTCATGAAAAGTAGACAGGAAGAGATAGAGAAAGTTTAGTATAACTGAAGTCAGCCTTCATTCATACCACATTTCAAATTTTCAAGCATTCAGTAGTGATGTTTTTTTAATTTGAAACAAGAAATTGTTGGAGACGTTAGGTGCCCAGAACTCACTTGGAATAGGCCCTACTTTTGTAATTTTATGCTGAAATTTTGAACTTTTTACGTTTTGATGCATAAGACGTTTAGTTGACCTTCAGCTTACATTTCCCAATCGGGAAATCCCTGACTGTCATTGGTTGATGGGTTATTTTAGTATGCTATTATTGTGGCTCTCCCAAGCACGTTTCTATCATGCATAAATAAACTCAATTTGTGTGCTTGAAAAACCTCATATTTCCTGGGTGTTTGTAGAATACGCTCTGTCTACGTCTTATCAAGACTTCTTGCTCTAGTTAGCAGGGCCTGAGACAAACGGATATGCTCCCCGTTTGCCGAGTAAGGTGAACTTGTAATAGCATTCAAGCATATCAGAAATTCGAACATATTGAAAAAAAGGTCCTGACTTATACTCTGACCACAATACACTGGATAAGTTCCAAAGAACCAAAAACACAGTGGAACAGGAAAAGATCATATTCCAAATAGCAAGAGGTTAAATGGAAATACGAAGCCGAAGGTGGTGGCGAAGGCGAAGACGAAACAGACAACGTTGGTTTCTTTATAGTATTTACATGAGAAGCTTCTGGATTGTAATTCACGTGATCGACTGGATTAGATTTAGCCAATCAGCATGCAGCTAACAACACGAGAATTTTCTACCCTGTTCTCCAAGAATCGATCAGGCGCTGATTGGATAGGAAATTAGCCAATCAGCGCGCAGCAGCGTAGTCATGCTTTAATCCATCTATGTCCCACTAACATATCACATATTAATCTGAAGGGCTGTTAACTTATTCTTAAGTTTGTAACGTTTATTGTACTAAAAATAAGCCAGTGAATATGTATATCTATATATTTATATAGGCATCATATTACATATCGCAAGCATTTTAATCACTGAAGATTTATTGATCGAACTACCCTTAACTGAATACTCCACGCCTAACTTTGCTTAATTCTTGGTTCTAGCACAGGCTGGAAATGCTTTGAATACATTTATCGATAATAGTTAATTGTCTTGAAATATAAAAACGTAGTGCAACTTAACAAGACAGATAGATAGACATATACAACACAGAAATTCGTACAGGTACGTACATCAGTTCAGGTTGCCACACCGCATTAACACAAAAACGCAAGTGTCAGTTAAAATCCAATAGTGGTAGCGATAGTAGAAGTATTACTGATAGTGGAGAAGATTAGGAAGCGAGGATATGAATCGAGAAGTATAATTCAGTGAAATAAATGTAGAATGAGAAAGAAAGAGATGATGAGGAATTCAGAAGGTTAGAATTAGAGATAACACAAAGAGTGAATGCACCTGCGCCATTGCAAGTGATTTTGAGCCATGCCGTTCAAGGTCTCTAACCATTGGTGGCTTTCATTTCGCGGAACCCAATCAGATACCCTACATCTACCTACCAACATAGTTCAGTCCACTTATCAGTGATTTCATGGATTTCTGCCAATAGTTTGGTTTGGCCACTCCTAACTTTCTTCCAACCCACTACTCCTACACCACAAAACACAGCTCATCGAAGCAGTCGGATAAAAAAAATTATGACGGAAACGAATGAAACAAACCAACTAAATGATAATTACTTACCAGGCGTTCTATTCCATGGTGTATTATTATTATTATTACTGATACCAGTGGTAGTATTTGTAACTTGAGACATCAGGTGAAAATTAACTGACTCCAACAGAAAGGCATCTACAATAAACAATGAATATACTTTGAAAACAATTGGCAAACACACAAACAAGTCATAAATTACAACTGATCATGAAGTAGACATACAAAGAGCTTAACTGTTACAAGCAATTTATAATACACTTTCTTTAATAACTAAAAAATACATGCTTAGTTAGTTAGTTAGTAGTAGTAGTAGTAGTAGTAGTAGTAGTAGTAGTAGTTGTAGTAGTAGTAGTAGTATAGTGAAGGAGAACACAGGTGAGGGCAACCGAATTGTATTTATCGCAAATTACAGAGTTACTCAGTAAAATAGGAAAACCATATCGTAAACGGTTAATTTGCAAATCTTCAATCTATCATCAATCCATTGTCTGACATTTCACCACTGTTCATGAGTTTCATACAAATTCCATTGTGTTCCCACTCTTCCTTTCTTGATCTTTCCCTATCTTCTGCTGCCAGACACTACGTTTACACTCGCGTCATATACTACTTATAAGTAGCGCATACCACAGTAGTAGTAGTAGTAGTAAGTAGTTAAACTTAATAGAATGGTAAATATATTGATATAGATGTACTTTTAAAAATCAGTGATGTATGCAGTCAGAAAAAAAATAAGGGAAAACGTGTAACAGTTTCTAACTTGTAAGCGAAAAATTACACTACATGCCGTATATGACGGCAATATTAATAATCATGTTTCTCTTTTTTTCATCTAGATGGGTAAGTACTCAAAACTGGAGCCCAACCATTTAAGAAAGTACGAATATTACTACTACTATGGTGCGCGCTACTTATAAGTAGTATATGACGCGAGTGTTAACGTAATGTCTGGCAGCAGAAGATGGGGGAAGATCAAGAAAGGAAGAAGAGTGGGAACACAATGGAATATGTATGAAACGCATGAATAATGAAATGTCAGACAATGGAATGATGATGGATTGAAGATTTGCAAATTAACCGTTTACGATATGGTTTTCCTATTTTACGAATTAACTCTGTAATTTGCGATAAATACAATTCGGTTGCCCTCACCTGTGTTCTCCTTCACTACACTACCACTACTAATACTACTACACGACTTTATTTTATTTCTTGACCTTTGGAATTTTGATAGATTTTTAAAAAAACGCCTTATCGGATAAAGTATGTGATGATACAGGTGTATCAGTATGCATAAATAACATACCACAAAAAATGTACTTGAATATCGACATAAAAACAATGATCTGATGTATTATAAGCGTGGAGAAATGAACTACTCAGATAGGTTGAAGAATAATAAACCCCGCCAGGAGCCCCTCTAGGGCTACTGGCGATCTCAAACCCGGATAAAGGTACAGGGTTGGGCATCATGTTAGCGACCCTATCTCGCAGAAAACAAATACGCTAAGGAAACACCAACCAGAAGAAATAAATTGATATGCTTGAACTATTACGAGTTCACCTTACTCGGTAAACGGAGCGCAGATCAATGATGCAGCGACAGGATAGGCTACTCTCATCCGATTGTCCCAGGCCCAACTAACTAGAGGAAGAATTATTGATAAGACGTAAAGAAATGTATTCCACAAGCACCCAGAAAGTACAAGGTCAACAAGTACACAATTCAAAATAACATACTGAAATAATCCATCAACCAATGACAATCAAGGATTTTCCGATTGGGAAATGTAAGCTCAAGGTCAACTAAGCGTCCTTGGCGCGAAAACATAAACAGTTCAAAATTCCAGCACAAAATTACAAAATTAGGACCTATTCCAAGGAGATTTCTGGGGATTCAACGTCCCCCAACATAAACAATGACAGATATTAAGTAAAAAAAAGATGGCGTGTTAATCACTGCGCCTACAAAAAAATAAGTATTTTTGACTTTTAAGAATATTCATATGATCAATGGATCATACACAATACATTTAACGAACAATCATATCATGAATGACCTTGAATTCCCTAACGAAAAATAAAAACAATTATTTATGTAAATAATAATAATAAACAATAATATTAAAGAAAAACACAACTATCGGTAGGTAGTTGTTGACTGAATAACAATTTTTAAGTGAACCACGTATGTTAAATAGTAGTAGTAAATATTGAATGAAAAGCAAAAATGCATTAAAAATGATGATAACAAGCAGAATAAATATAATTGTGGCAGAAAAGTATATGATTATTTTGAAGCATAGAACTGCTTAATTACTTGTTTATTTGATTGAAAAGCACTGATCGGTTATCACTGTCTTATTCAAAGCCCTATTTAAATGATAAATAGCGAGCGTTATTCAGTCAGTCAGTCAGATGCAACGTAGAACTTCGTACGTAAGTACATCAGTTCATGTTGCCATACCACATCAGCACAGAGATGCGATTGTCAATTCAAATCCAATAATAGAAGAGGTAGTAAAGGTATTAGAAGTAATCGGAGAGGTTAGGATTAGAAGATATTCAAGAAGTATGATTCAGTGAGAAATGTTTAAAAAACCAAAACTAGAGGTGTTGACGAATCCAGAAGATTAAGATTTGGGAGAACACAAAGAATAAATGCACCGGCGCCATTGCGAACGGTTTTGAGCCATGTCATTCAGGGTCACTAACCATCGATTGTTATCATCTCGCAGACCCCAACCAGGTAGTCGACAATTACCGACATGACTCAGTCCACTTGTCAGTGATTTGATGGATTTCTACCATCTTTTGGTCTGGCCACCCCTAACTTTCTTCCAACCTATTCCTACACTACGAAACAAAGCTCTTCGAGTCAGTCGGTGGTTAGGCATACGCAGCACATGGCCCAACCACCTCAACTGATGAAGTTTCATTACTTCATCTATTGATCTGCCATTCTTACCTAGCACCTGATTCCTAATAACAGCGTTGCTCACTCGGGTGTCCTAGGACATACGAGCAATGCTTCGAAGACACCTATGATCAAAAACCAGTAACCTACGAGTATCTCCTACTCTCACTGGTCATGTTTCACAGCCATAAAGTAAGACGGAGCGAACTACTGCACTATGCACTTGTCTTTTAGTCAGCAAACGGATATCTCGCCTACGCCATAAGTGACGCAACTTGGCCAAAGCCAATCGAGCCTTCTGTATCCGAGCTGAGATTTTGTCATTCACCAGGCTATCGGCACTGATGAGACTCCCAAGATAAGTGAAGCGGTCTATACGCTCGACTACTTCATTCCCTATTACTGGTTCTGGTGCCGATGCAACCCAATCTTGAAACAACATTGTGCATTTTGAGTGTAATTCAGTGTTAAGGACGGTTATTCACTACCATTAACAAAACGTGGCACAAATCCATAGTCATTGACAGCTGGACCGAGCTACGTTAGTAGATCAGGTTGGGGTCGCCAGACGATAGTAACCAATGGTAAGAGACTTTGAATAACATGACTCAAAATTGTTTATCGAAGCGCAGGTGCATTCTTTCTTCGTCTTCTCTAATCTTCTGAATTCCTTATCACCTTTACCTTCTTTTTAAATTTATTTCACTGGATTATATTTCTCAAACCATATCTTCGAACCCTAATCTTTTTAATTACCGCCAATACTTCTACTACCTCTACCACTAGGAGATTTGAAATGACATTCCATCTTTGTGCGCTACTGCGTTATGGCAACATAAACTGATGTACGTGAGTACCAAGTCATTATTATCAAAAAATAACTCAAGTTCATGGGAAAATGAACAGATACCACCTAATGGGGTTTGGAATAAGTGAGACACATTGGACACATGTTGGAGAATAATTATTAGCTTTAGGAGAGATGCTGTTGTAATCCGATCATGAAGAAAATGCCTCACACAAACAAGAAGTTGCACTGATGCTGTCCAAACAAGCAACAAAGCACTGACAAGATGGGAATCTCAAGGCTCCATGATCCTCAAATCATTCTTCAAAACAAAGAAGGATAGAAGTACAATAAATGTTTCCCAGTGCTATACGCCCAAAGATAACAACGAAGACGATGAAGATTAATTTTATGAGAAGCTGCAGTTAATTGACGAAAAATGACTAGCAAAGGATCTGACCATTTTGATGGGAGATTTAAATGCTAAGTTGTAAGGAACTAGAGAAACATTAATTTCAACATGACATGTGGTTTTAGGCCACAAGAAGCACCATCATAAAGAACGGCTCTCTGTAATACTCTGCATAAGATTCACGAAGGGAAGAACTGCAAAATGGAAATCAATAACAGCCGAACACGAGCAGAAAAAGCCAAGGTAAAAGCTATATATACGGAAACAAACTATCAAGTGAAGAAGAGCATTACAGCTGATAAATGGAAATATGCGGATGATCTAGCAATTATAGCAATAAAAGCTACGAAATAAGGAAATATGTAATAATTATATGACACAACGAGGCTAGTAGGGAAATATGAGCGATCAGTCGCGAACAAAGAAAGGCAAACCAATCATTGAGATTAAAGACCAGCCGGAAAAATGGGCAGAGTACTTTTAAGAGCTCTCGGATAGATCGGTACGACTGAACCCACTATACAACGAAGCATCACGAATAGTCATCGGGAATATCAAGAGTGACAAAGTCTAAGGACCAGACAACATATCAACAGAGGCGTTGAAACAGGAAACAATGGTAACGAAGATGCTTTACGTTCTCTTCAGCTGCTACCTTGACCTAGTGGTTGGGCTTGCGTATCGTGATGACCCAATCGAGCTATATTGGCTGGTCGATTGGAGAACGATCAGACTAAAAGCAGCTACTCAAGGTCTGAGGGCGAAGTCGTACTGCTGACTGCAGAGGGGTGTGACAGCAGTAAGGTGTTTCCCTCGGATAACCAGCATCTGCAGAGATGCTTCCTTCTCACAAGGAAGAAAGGGTTAGAAAAGGTCGACCCTAAAAATGTCACACCTCCCCTAACTCACGGATTTCCGTCTCCGTCGGTAAGGGTGCCCACTAAGGACTTTTAAGAGCGGAGCAAATCCTCAAAAAACGTTTCATAAAAAGGCCGTGCGTGACCGGCTTCAAGCAGTTGTCCCTTGGGCACTGCGGTCAGGCTTTCAGGTTGGTAAGGCCAGCACTAATCTACCTTCCTTTTTCACTTTTCTCAAGAAACACCCTTCCAGGGTGTGGGCAGCCAGGAAGTGACAACCGCTCTCATACCCGTAACAGCACGCGAGACCGAATCGGTCATAATCAAATTCTTTCTATACCTCTTAATAACTCTCTTATCTCCTCGACCAACCCTTTTTTGATCTTTTACCACCTCACGCCACTGAAGCAAACGGTATGAGCTCTCGAAACATTATTCCAGGTCTCTTGAAACACAGTACTAAATTACATATTGCAGCTTTTAATGTTCGGACCCTATGCCAAATACGGCAACAGGCTTCATTAGTTAGAACTCTGGAATCCCGAGCGATCAATGTATGTTGCGTCTCGGAAACGCGCATACAAGATCTGAATAAAATCATCAACTTGATCTCGCCTAATGCAGACAGAGACACAACAAAGTTTACGCTTCGTTTTCTAAAAGCCCTGATGCCGCTTCACGTGGCCTCGACGGCGTAGGTATAGTATTGTCATAGGGCAGAACTAGCTCTCCTAGACTGGATCCCGATAGACAGTCGCTTATGCGCTGTCCGACTAAACGGGACAGTAGAGATTCGGTAGGATAGGGACACTCGTCGTTGCCTCTTCGTCGTATCTGCCTATGCCCCCACTGACTGCACTTCACACGAGGTAAAAGATGAATTCTACAGAAAGATTTCGGACCGCCTCCAAAACGTTAGCGTTGTAACGGTTGCTTACGATATTTCCCAGCTAAATCTTATTGCTTAGTATTCTTGACACAAACACTAGACAAGTAACACAAATCAGAACACGGTTGAACAGGAAGGATTGTATTCCAAATAGCAAGGAAAAGAAGCTGGAGGTGATGGCGAAAGCCAAGGCAAAAAGGCTTGAAAGCGAAGAAGGCTAGAAGGCTAGAAGGCGAAGATAAATACAATGCTAGTCTATTTATAGCCTTTACATGAGAAAACTTCTGGAACAAAAATTCACGTGGTCGACTGGACTGGTTTTGACCAATCAGCATGCAGCTTAATAAGACGAGAATTTTCTATCCTGTTCTCCAAGCTTCGATCAGGCGCTGATTGGACAGGAAATTAGCCAATCAGCGCGTAGTGACGTAATCATGCTTTAAATCCATCTATGTCCCACTAACAGTTAGACGCTCTGATGTAGTAATAATGGCTGGTGACTTTAATGCTCAAGTAGGTAGACTAAGTGAACATGAATGACACCTGAGTGGATGTTATGGTGTCGCGGCTCAGAGAACAGACAATGGCGACCGTCTGCTGCAAGTATGCTCAGATAACCGCCTATTCCTAGCAAACACTAACTTTAGGCATAAGGAAAAACACCTTTTGACCTGGCGACCCCCGAAGTCGTCTCAACGTTAGACTCAACTAGATCACTTTGCCATCAGCCACCGATGGAGGGGTTCGACAGACGAATGTCACTCTTTCTGCAGCACATGTTTATATTCAGGTCATGCCCTAGTGCGAGCGCGTATTTGTTTGAGGCTTAATGGACGTAGGAAAGACACCGTAAGAAAGCCTCTTAGGGTTTTACTCAATGATAATAAAGCTAAGAATATATTTCAAGAACAACTAGAGTTAGGCAACCATATAAGAGATTCCGATCCGGAAGCAGGATGGAATTATTTCAAAAAGGCTGTAGAAACCGCAGTGACATCTGCTAGTAAGTTAAACCATAGGGCTAGAATGAAGCAGTGGGTCTCAATGGCATCTACCGAACTGATGGATGCTCGAAAACGCATCCCATCTGACTCTGAACATGATGAAGAGCATAGTCAGCTTAGGCGCAGACTTATAAAAAGTCTACGTAACCGACCGTGAACAGTGGTGGGTGATGAAGGCAAAAGCGATGGAAAAGGGAGCAGCGATAGGCAACACTAGACAACTTTTCCGCCTTATTAAAGAAACCGGTATTAGGAACCCGAATGTGAGTGAGACTATCTCGGAAAAGGATGGTCTTATTATCCATTCTCAATCTAGGAGGCTGGATCGATGGGCAGAACACTTTAGAGATCAGTTCAACTGGCCACGAGCCACTCTTCGGTTACCCACGATCTCCAGTCATCCTGAATGGCAAGTCGACGTAAGTCCCCCTAGTCTTACTGACGTTGAGAAAGCGTTAGGAAATCTGAAGCGAGGACGAGCTGCAGGTCCTGATAGACTGATCCCTGAGTTATTTAAGGATGGTGGTCCAGTTAGCGAAAAAAACTCGCAAACTTTACAGTACTTAGACTTACTAACCATGGCTACGTAAATATGGAGAATTCGAGGGCAGATGAATGGCTCAAAAGATTAAAAACTCACTTGAATCAGTTTAAATTCATCGGATACGAAATAAAATATTTGTTTGGTAAGGTTATATAATTCCAAATGCAATGGCCGAAACCGAAGAGTCACAACTTGTAGCCTGCGCCATTGACATGCAGACTAACAAAAACCAACAAGCAACAATATGACATAAGATTTCAGACGACACGAAAAATAACAGAATTTTCACCTTTGGATAAGTTATTCACCATACAAGACGCAGTATTTTGTTGCTGTATTTAGCAAATTTTAAAATGATGAATGTTCTATGGCACCACTGAGTTAATTAATACCGAATCAAATTGTCTTTAATTTTTTATAACACAGTAGAGCATGCTATCTTTTACCAGACTCTAATACCAATGGACTTCTAAATCTTCCAAGTACATGTGAATACGTTAAAATGAAGTGTAAAATTAAATATTATCTCTGTATGCTTCATACATTCGAAAAGACATTTTGTCATAAAATTTCACGACCCTTGAAGACTGAAAAATATGTCGAGTTATATAAATATATAAATACTGAGTTCAAATAAATTATGGTTCAATCATATCATAACCGGTAATTTGTAACACTTGTTGAGATACTTCTAATCATATGTGTGAATATGCACGACACTGTGAAAACCAATTTCATTATTTTAAGGGTATTCCTAGTGTGTTTGTTCAGTTTTATTGCTTTAGCACTCTCGAAACGCTAGTGGTCTCAAAAGAGACTCTAAATTCGGTAATAGTTGCCAATGAAGTTTGTCAGTATATTGAAAATTCAGTATTGCTTCATTGTATTTGGTTTTCAGAGTTCCGAAATAGCGATCACATTGTTCTAAAAACATTTGATACCGCACACATAAGCTCTACATCTGGACAAGAACCTATGATTTGACTTCAGTTCTGCCTTTCTAGTGTCATATATAGAAGTTAAGACGGACACTTTTACCATGAATTCAAATGCATATGTTTACACCTTTCAGACACATTATATAGCTGATAAGTTATGTTAAAGACGTCTGTTGTATGGCCACGCTATCCAGTTGCTTTGTATTCCTCCACAACACCCTGTTATTCACCCAAGCCTAGAAATAGTAGGTGATGATACTCCAGCAAACCAGTTTGAGTATGCGGGTATCACTGCTCATCACAATTACATTTGATATACGAACCTGCAACACACAAGTGTCCAATTCTAACTCTGTTAGTAACATATGGACTAGTACTGATTTCAAGAACAAGGTGAGCACAAATGAATAGTGCACAAAGGAGTAATAAGCGTATTCAACCACGATAAAATCTCAGCAATGGAAACGCTAGCCTATTTAAAACTGTGACACAAGAGTATTCTCGCGTCTTCACCTATCCACTAGCGGTGACTATATAAGAATGAGCAAACGGCGTACTTCGACATAATCTAGCACTGGACTTGCCTTAGCTTGATCCGTGTCCTCATAACAAGGTGTCAGTTAGCTTACTCACGATATCTTAGTTGAACGAACGTGCGCACTCCGAAACTGAAATGTCCTCCTTGAACTCCAACCATTTACATCAAACAATCTAGTTTTCGACAAAAGATTGGGACATTTAATCATTCCCAAAGATGTTAACTTTGTCTCTATTCACTGTTAGAACGTCTGAGTAACAACAGGGACAAACGAAGTCATTCCAAGTCAGAACTAATGTTCGATAGGTCCAGCTGTCTCTATCACTTTTTCTCTTCCTGGTTCCTACGATAACACACACATTCATTCACTCGCAAACACAGGACTTGTAGAAAAGTTACTGTATCCACGCGAAGTTGCTTACTAAGACGGTCAAATGGTAACACAACAATTTTGGGTGATTTTCAGGTCCTATTGTTGCATCTCATATATTCACTCGGTCTTAATATTTTTATTTTTCTCCCTCAAAAGCTCATCTCGCGTATTTTCATCTCCAAATTATTTCATTTTCCGTTCTTAAACCTAAAATATTTAGTAATAGCGTTACTACCAGTTCTTACACTATAACAACTAAGAAAACTAGTAGATGTACGAAAAATGAAGCTCCACAACCAAAACATCTGGCTCAGAGAACGAAGCACCATCACAAGAATCCTGGGGTTAGCAGGTTCAGAAATCCCAGTCTTTAGCGATTGAGTTATGAAAAAACTGAACACGTCACTCGACCGTGTACCTCGGAACAATGTGCATAATTTGGATTCCTCGACCCAAACACCTCCACCGGGTCTACAATAAATAAATCAGGACTACACCCTTTCCCAGATTCCAACTCCTAGTAAAATCAACCGGCAAAATAAAAATGGGAGCCACAGGTGTCCTAAGGTTCAGTCGACACAGCCTATCGTTCAGAAAGCGCATAAGAATAAATACATCACCTGCTACCTACCAGTTGAAACCAGTGACTCTGCCTCTGAGTGTAACTTTTGTGATGCATGGGTTCATAGTCACTGTGACATTGCAGTACCTAGACAGTCCTACGAGTGCATACTGAATCACCTCTTTCCGTGATTCCGGTATACTTTTCTACAGTGCGAAATCACTGAAACAAAAATATTAGCATTAGCGAAGCTACATTACCCCCCGGAAATAAACTTACGAATCACCCAAGGAAACGAAATTCGACGACCAAACAGGTCACAAATGTAGCCGTAACCCAAACCAATATTTCAACGAATCTGCAGGTTGTTGCAAACTCCTCAGTAGTATACAGCAGTAGGTGAGCGAAAGAGATGCAAACTGCGACACGACAGGTCGGAAAACGCCACAAATTAGGGACTAGGTCGCCAGACAAAATTCATTAATTTTACTGAATGTTCCAGCGTCAGAGGATGGCTTAATAGAAAGCAGAGCTGCCTTTCGTAAGGAACAGTAGGACTAGTACTGTGGAATGCTTGGAATAAGCAGTACCCTTGCCAAACTATACCGTCTGTAAAAGGACAAGAACGTCGCTAACGGGAAACCCACTCCGCTGAGGGTAACTTTAGACTCGGCACAAGTTGCTGGTTAAATCCTCCAACCATCTCAGATACCCGCGGTTAAACTGTCCTCCTCCATACAAGTCAGTCACTAAAAACCGTGGTCAATACGATCAGCTGCCAGTGTATTATAAGGAACCCCAAACGCTAACCAATAAGATGTTTCGTGGCGTGCACGAGCTCGTGAGTGGTAGCTGTAATGAAGCTCACGCACATGAAGTGCAACTACCACCATGGTAGTTAGAGGTCATACAGCAAGCCCGAATATGGCTGTAAACCAACATTGCAAACGATGAAGTGAGCTTGCTACGAATGTCACCATTGCCGACTGATTGAGTATATCAAACAGGAGGCGGATTGTCTATGCATATTAAGAGCCATTTTAAAGCTGAAAGAATACATTCTTGATTAGAGGGATTTGCAAACCCCCCTAAAGTACTAAGGCAATACTGCGACTGACACTCCTGGCATTTGATCAAATACTCTCAGAGATTTCGACACTCCATTTCTAAATCTCAACAAACAGGACAGATGTAAGTTTTAGAGTGGATTCTGAATTCGGAAGAAACAGTTTTAGAAGTTTAGATACGTGCCTTGCCAAGTTAATCCAAAAAGAAAGCATTTTATCTGGGTAAGTAACGATTCTAAACAAAATTACACTGTTCTCCGCCAAAATTTACACAGTGTGTATCCAATTCCTGAAAAACGCTTCCGTATAGGTTCAAAATTGCAACTTTCCAGTCCAGATGCACGTTTTACCTTGGGTATCATATCCGATAAGGCTGATGCCATGATAATTAAGCATCAACTTAAACATCATAACAAAGTTCAGTAGAAAACATAGAAACTCCAATAAAGTTACAAAAAATAGAAACTATAACAAAATACAGATATTAACATCACTAGATGGTACTAAACAGAGTACCAAAATGTATCACAGAACGAGTCGGCGAGAACATATTACAATTATTTACATGGAAGGATTTTCCCAAAACAAAGTCGCTTCCCATTCAGGATTTACCCTCCATATTATAAGGAGGATGAATCGTCAATCCACCACCACTTGCTCTACACGGCATACGTGATGAAGTCATTGATACCAACTCATCAACAGAAGTCCTTAGCCTATAGATAAATCGCAAGTGTATAATCTCCAATTTTGACATTTCCTCGCCTCCTGAAGACTCTGAATGGCATAATAGCTGCTGGTTACCAGAAACCTTAGTACCCTGAGAAAAATGCACTCACGCAAATCACGGGATATACAAACGTCTGAGTACTGACTAGAATTAGTGAAGTCTGGTGGCTAGACTAGCATCGATTGGATATGATCAGATACCTGCAACCATAATGAAAAAAAGAGAATCGAGCGCAAATAAATCAAGTGGTCTATACTTACTCGTGAAAAAGATATTGAACATCAAAATATTATGTAAACATTCTAAAAGATTGAGTTTAGTATGTCTTATTCTAGGATATTCTCATCTTTCATTCAGTTTCGATCACAGACATTCACTGCTGAAACTGAAATTTGAACTACGATTTTAATAAAACGCGAATGTTTAGTAATATTCACTCATTTCAATGAAATAACGCGAACAGAAAATTCCAAAAGCCGAATAACTGAAGTTTATCGCTATATTGCAAATCTATCAAAGTATTATTCTTTATAATAAGTGAGATGATAAGTTTTATAATGAACCTCTAAAGTTCCGGCTCCCGAAGAATGATTTAAAATGGCAAGTAAATGGTAAAGGAGAGAAAAATATCAAGGTTAAAGTCATAAACAACTCGAGTTTCAAATGTGATAAAAACAACTAGTCCAAAGCAAACAAAAACGAATAAAATTCACGATTCTAGTTTTTCAGTAAGCTAAATACTGAGTGTTTCACCTGTGACAGTTATCTAGCAGATTTCCAAAACCAGCTATAGGATTATAAATGTGAGTTATCTTCATACCATTTAACTCGTTTACCGATAAAGAATAGAATGCGAGTAAACTCGAATAGTAGAGTTCTATAAACCAAATTTAAGTAATCGAAAGGAGTGACATTAAAGGTAAGATATGATCAAAAAGATCAAATCAAAACAGAATTAGGTGAACATAATTGGACCAAAGTTATTGTAGTTTAGTAGCGTGT